AGATAATTGATTGGTGATTGCTTGTTAATCTTTTGTGGCTTCACACCCATCCAGTTTTAATCTCACGGATAATTGATCGGCAAGTGTTTGCTTCACACCCACCAATTGAAGGCCGGATTATACGGTGTCGATTCAATGGAAATCATATGACAGGGCGGCTGATTGATGTCGTAATCCAAAACTTACAGAGGTCGAATTACCCAGAGTGGACTGTATAAAAAGTAGCTGATGAATTTATTAGAATTCAAAACATGAAAGAAAAGATTAACATGAAACACATGGTTATTAAAAGACTCTACCAAATGATAAAACATTAGTTGCACTTAAGGTTCTCTATCATCGTTTCCCGTAAAAGTAATTTTTTGTTTTAAAAACCAAAAAAAAACAAGCCAACAGTGAGGCTGATGTCCCCCCGCCGAAATCCCAAAATAAATAGATGACACATATTAATTAATCGCACATTTATTTTTTTCAAAAGTATCGAGCAATCAAACTACACACCAAGTTTCATCACTCTCTATCAGATAGAATCAAGATTATCTTCTGCCAAAGCATCGACCAATGAAATTGATTAGCTGTGCTTAGCTTTAGCTTGAAATGTTAATCATTGAAATCAGTCAAGACATTCGAATAATGAACATCTACATCAGGTTTAAACATTCTACCTCAATTAAAAGCAGAGTTTTTATGTTAGTCAAGGTAATTATATAATGAATCTATATTCAGAGTTTCATTACTCTCACTTCATTATAACCAAAGTTATCGTGCCCCTAAAGCATCAACCAATTGCTTATCTCTGCCTACTGTAAGCAGACAATATTCATCATCAAACTCCATCAAGAGATTCACCTAATGAATGCCTACATCAAGTTTGAACATTCTACCTCAATTAGAAGGAGAGTTATTGTGTTCCAAAGTCTTGACCAATCAAATTGCTTATCGCTCTGCTTACCCTCAGCAGAAAATGTTCATTATCGAACTTAGTCAAGGTATTGATGTAATAAAGCTATACACCAAGTGTCCTCACTCTAACCTCATTAGAACTAAAGTTATCGTGTCCCAAAGCATCAACCAATCAAATTGCTTATCTCTGCTTACCCTAAGCAGAAAATGCTCATCTTCGAACTCCATCAAGGCATTGACCCAATTAACACCTACACCAAGTTTGAACATTCTAACTCAATTAGAAGGAGAGTTATTGTGTTCCAAAATCTTGGCCAATCAAATTGCTTATCGCTCTGCTTACCCTGAGCAGAAAATGCTCATTATCGAACTTAGTCAAGGTATTGATGTAATGAAACTATACACCAAGTTTCAACACTCTCACTTAATTAGAACTAAAGTTATCGTGTCCCAAAGCATCAACCAATCAAATTGCTTATCTCCGCTTACTCTAAGCGGAAAATGGTCATCTTTGAATTCCATCAAGGTATTGACCTAATAAACACCTACACCAAGTTTGAACATTCTAGCTCAATTAGAAAGAGAGTTATTGTGTCCCAAAAGGTGTGACGGACAAACAGACAGACGGCTGGACAAACAAACGAACCCATTTTAATAGTCCCCTGCTTTCTCACACACATTTTCAACAGTCATTTTATTAGTCATCCGAGTCCGAAACGTCACCAGACAAGAGTCCGAAAAGTCATTAAGTAAGTCTGAACCGTCATACAGAGTCCAAACGCCCGTCTGTGTTGGAACCGAAATGACGCGGGACAGAAATGACATGTTGTTTTAATGCAATATCATTTGATTCAGGTATAACAAAAATAATTGTTCTGCATTTTATTGCCCCCAATCAAGTGATTACGTAACATCATTGAAGCCCATTTCATGCTTGAACCTATTCCGATAACCTTGTCTAAAAATGGGCGACAGCTTGTCTATAGAGATTGACAGTGACTTTTTTTTGGCGCCAGTGTAATGTACAGTCTCGCGAGATTATCGCACTGCCATTGTGAGGTTGACTTCTGGCCACGTGTACAGATGGAAGACTACATAAATTCATTTGTGATTTAAAAAAGATACATGTGATTTACCCATTTCCAATTGTATAATTACCTGGGAAGTGATTTACCGATTTTTGTTATATTTGTCAATGGTGGAATATTAATTTTATAGGATAATGGATAATAAATAATACTACAACCATGGTAAGGTGATCACCTTTTTTATTCATACTTCACATGTAAATAATCGATTTACATTGAATAAACCGATCGAATAAACAGCTCGCCTTATATTCACCTTTTTTATTCGTACTTCATATGTAAATAATCGTAATCAAAATGAACCGATCGCATAAACGGCTCGTGGGAAATTGAACGGTTCATCTAATAGTTCAACACTGTAGATAAATTAACCGTGTGTTGATTTTTCAACGTATCTCAGGAAAGTAAACGGCTCGTCTAATAAGTACACACGGTAAATAAGTGAACGGGTCGTCCATTTCTAAACGCCTCTCGGAGAAACTAAACTCCTTACCATTAAATTAAGTCATAGTACTAACTAAATCTTAAACGATTTTTATCAATTATTGAACGATGTTTTGAAAGTAAACTATATGCACTTTCCAGCACCAAAAACCCCGTTCTAAACGATACCATTCTTCTATTGAAGGATTGTCAATTTCTGTTTTTATCATGTTTAAAATCACATTAAATATACACCTCGTGTTCTAGGATACGGAGAGAAAGAGAGAGAGAGAAATGGGGTTAAACGTCCACTCGACACAAACTAAGTCATTTCGGGACTAACATATGGTTTAATTTTATTTCAATAATTCGCATGCGCGTAGGGGTCTTTAGCAGTGGAAGGAAACCGGAGGACTCGGAGAAAACCCACGAGGTTGGACAGGCGTCCCTACCCCTTGTCACGTACAACCGGGGATTCAAACCACGCCAGTTGACTCAATGACAGGCTTTATGATACAGCGTGCACCTGTTAACCATTCGGCCATCCAACCCCCCAATTAAGAGTAACAACCCATTAAGTAATCATCAGAAATCATTAGAATTTGTATATAAACACCGTATATAAATTATATTAACTTTAGCCTCTAACGCATCCTCAAAATTTCTCAAGTGATCAGGGGCCATAACTCTGACAGTAGCTATCAGAAACTGTTAAAAATCAATAGGATTCTTCGTCTCTTAACTTTAAGGGCGTTGCCATGTCTAATCTATGGTAACTTCACAATTTATTTTCAAACTCTGCTCCAAATAAATTTGGTATGATCTTTAAATAGACATCTGAAGCTGCGATTCAAGTCATTGTTTCGGCACATATTCCTTGTGTTTATAAAGATATTAAATTTTGAAATCAGCTTAAAAATGATCAATTTTCGTAATAAATTTCAAAAGTTCTCTGTCCTGCCTGATCCGAATTAAATAATTTTTGGCATGCAAATAGCTAATCTAGTGCTTAATAAAATTACGGGAGTATTTTTTTCATGGTGCCAATAATAATGCCAAAATTCCAGAAAATCAAAATAATTCATAGGTCGTTATGTAAACCGGTCTGAAATAAAATCTATTTCATATAATCACAAATTCTCTCATAGGAATGTTCCTCCGAATGTAAGCTTCAATTTGACGACAAGTTTGTTAAATTCGGTTGAGTAGAACTTGTATTTTTTTTCATCGTTTTCCTTGGTTTACAAAAAAAGGTCCTTTCGAATTGTGACGTATTCGTGTAATAAGTAATGCAATTTGTAAAAAAAATTGGACAAAATATCAAGAATTAGCTATGAGTAGACTTTGCCACTCCTGTCAGTGTAGTTTATGAAAAACAAGGAAAACGAATAGAGCCATTTTTTCGTGATTGGCAGCTATCAAAAGACTGGTTATTCGAGATCGAAGGAATTCCTCCTAGTCTAGTTTCTGTGTACCAGATGCAGAAACAAAGAAAGACGAGCTACTTTACTTACCGTGACGTTCAAAACAAATTTGGATACTATTTTTAGATCAATCAGGGTCAGGGATTCCCTCCCTTTGACAGACAATCCTGACCTATCTGGCGATGTGAACGTTTCTTTCTGTTGACGATTTATGTTTTTAGGGGAAAGGGAGACAGGTACTAAAGTATCACCGAGAAATAGTTTGAAAAGTTAGTGCGAATCTTAGACATGACAACCCCCTTAAAGTCAATTGGATATTAACTTCAGCCTATTTGCCATTCACCAATAATTTTACAAATGACTGTATTACTAAAAGAAACAACATGTGACCATGCACCTTGGATAATAATATGAGGGTGAGAGCACAACGGGTTGAAATGACATGAGGAAATAAATTTCCACAGAATAAAAATGACAATATGGCGTTAATAGATGTGCAGTATTTTCTTTTTAATTTTAATATATTTTGATCAAAAGCCTTGAAATGAGGAGTAGCTGCTATTGGTGAACAGGAGCATGATTTTTTTTTTTAAATAAAAATTACAATGACCAAAATTACGGGCAGGAATTCAGACAAACAAAAATCAAATTGGTGTGGCCTTACATCCAACCTACAGTAAGGTATCAGGAATACTTAGAAATAGATACAATCTTGATCCCAGGGATAACTTTACCCTTTGTTTATCTCTGGTAAAACTCATCGGCCATATGTCAACCATTTGGAATGTCACTTGATGTATCCTTCCGCTGGTCGCTTCACAAAGATCCAAGATAGATCAGTGCTCAGTTTCTTCATAAATTTCATGTATACCGGCAAATTTTACCGGCAAATGATCAAATTGGCTGTTTTCGAATGAACTTTTGATGTCAAGATATGGAGAATGTTCCAAGGATCATTAATGTAACTCATGCAACAAACCGATGCCTAATTGTCGAGAAATCAGCAGTATTTCATTCAAACAAATCGAGCCAATCAGAAGCCACTGGGTGCAGAGCTTATGGTTGGCAAGTTTTACCAGAGATAAACGAAGGGTAAAGTTATCTCTGGGATTGAGATTTAAATTTGAAGTAAAAAATCTGTTTCTATGTGTTCTTTATGTACCTTTTTATTTAGGTCTACTGGAGTTAAATCAGCAGCTATAATCTCTGATATATCCTATAAGTAATCAGGTTACATTTAAATATATTTATATCAATATCTAAATTAAAACAGAAGTCAATATAATTGCAAAAAAAAAAAAAAAAAAATTACGTACTGCATTTCCACAATATATTTATACATTAAATTAAATAATGTTGCATGTTTTTTCATGTTGTATCTAGATGTAACTGTATATTATGTGTTTGTCATTTATAGGGAGTGGAAACAGCAAGGAGAAGCAGGTTACATTGAATTTGGCAGTGCATTATTCTAATCTAATAGCAAACAACAAACTGTTAATAACAAACATCAAGATCAATTTTCTAACATAATAGCTTCATTATGCAACTATTGATTAACTATTAACATTGTTGTACATGAAACATTTAAAACATTTGGGTCTTTACTTTTATAAAACTTAACTAGAAAACATAGATTGCCAGGCAACGAAATATACGCCCACAGCAACTAAATCGTCCGAGCGGTCGACAAGGGTTGTCACATATTTATTCTTTTGTAGATAATTGGCGGCATGTACAAGACAATTTCGTACGGATGAGAATATAATTTTCGTCACTTAAGGGTTCACAAGGTTGTACAAACTGAAACATATGTAGCCGAATCGTTGCCATATTAAGAGAAAATATCATGGTTAAAATTGCAAAATTATCAGTCAAAATGGTAAAGAGAGGTTGCCAGGCAACAAAACATACGCCCACAGCTCAGCTAAATCGTTCGGGCAGTCAACAAGAGTTGTCGCAAATTTTTACTTTTTTCGTTAATGAAACATTTATAATACACTAAAATCTGATGAGTAACAACTCATTATTTAATTATCAGAAAATCATTAGAATTTGTTGGGTCCATGCTAACGTTGAGTTTACAAAATACTTAATATCATGGATTTAGGTGTTCAAGTTATCAAAAATCATTGAAAATCAATATACTTGTTCGTCTTAAGACCTTCAACTCTGTATCAATCTAATGTCAATTGATTGAAACGATTGCATATAGGTGTAAACACGGTTTATAAATATAAAATCAATCAGAACATAACTATGGTCTGTAAAGTATGCACAAGATTTTTCAAAGTGATCAAGAGCCATAACTCTGGCAGTAATTATCGGAAGTCGTTGACAATCAATAGGATTATTCTTCTAATGACCTTAAACACTGTGTATAAATTTAAAGTCAATCGTATATTAACTTTAGCCTCTAGAGCATCCACAAGATTTTTAAAAGTGATCAAGGGCTTTAACTCTGGCAGTCCATTGCGCTGTAGGCCTACCAGGTTTTGACTTTAAAAACTCCTGCTGATTAATTAATTATATAAAACAATATTTAACGTAATATGTTATTTCGTGTATTTTGTACACGGTGAACAGTCCATATGCTGATTACACTATTTTGCCTTATTACACTATTTTGCCTATACCATTTTTTTAGGACTTCGAATTTTGTCTAATGGTTTGGATTGTTCGTACTTGGTTTTATTTTATTGGTAATTGATTAATTGTAGGTACCATATGTGTGTACGCCAAAGTCAAAAGAGGACGTCACATTTGTATTTTTATTGAAGACCACATAAAACTTATTAGGCCTATATATTGGCTTGTTTTTTAATTCTCAACTTTAATTACTATAACTTTTGTTTCTAGTTGTATTTTAATTAAACATACATTATGTAAGAGCTAAATCTGATTATTGCAAGTCTTTATTTAGGCTTCAGATGTCATAGAAATTATAAATTAGATCTTTATTTACACAACAAGCACAAAATCAACTCTGTAGACCCACGGATGGCTTGGATTCGGCTTAGATTTAACCAGGATTTCATTGATTGATTAAATTTTTAAATGGCGTCGTAAGCGGAGATTAACCGTTACACTGACGTCATACTCTCAGAAACTTTAGATTGAGTGTACGAAGCGAGGCCGTTGTTGAGCGAGGCTGCATGTAATTTGATTGAAAGTTCGATATATACTGCCTTGATATTATGTTTAGTTGTGGTTAAAATGAGAGTTTGGATGTCGGTATTATACGCTCTTTTGTCACTTGCGATTACAGAAAAATTATGGAAATTGATAAACATCGCAGCTAACATCACCCCAGTTGAATTGCAGCCCCATTGGGCATTGGATCACTGTTTCCTATTTGTCTGCTTTGGGAGTTACGTAGGCTTACCAGTTACAGTACATGCAGGCTAACAAGAAGTTGACTACAATTATGCCTCATTGATTTGGTCCATTCCTTTCAAACTTTCGCTTCTTATCTATATATTAAAAGTCTTTTTTTTAATTTGTAGTAAAAATAAATGTGAAACGAATTGAATTGCAACCCCGTCTCAAACCGAATAGGCTAACAGTACCACAGCCATTGAAAACGTTACTTGATAATCGAGATTATGTAGGTGGAGTTAACGGCCCGTCTCGGAGACGGTGAAGAGAGAGTTGACTCCTATTTCTAGTCAAAAATTACAATGGTGATAACTTTGTTCAGAATAAAGTAATTTGACTGAAATTTTCAATATATTCTTCTTTCATCATCTATTTTTGAACTGTTATAGCAAGAATGGCCAACTCTCTATTTAAATCTCCCATAATGTATCTTTAATATAACTTTTGTTTCTAGTTTCGCATTATTTAACCCCCAGTCAATGTGAAAAGAACAAATAATTTATGTTTTTACTTTCATGTCTGATGACAACTACTTAATCCATTAGATTTTAATATTGACAGTGGACAGTAGGCTCTGCTGCATGTGTTTCGATCACAACTACCATACTTTATCATGATCAATTGAAAAGGTAAATTAAAATATTCTGGGACACCAACCCAGTGAAACAATAATTAATACCTCTTTTCGGGGATATTTTATTTTTTAATTTTTTATTTTCCACAAATTACAGATCTTTATCAACTAAATATTGTAACTGTTCTTGTGGAATAAATAACTTTGGCGGATCAACTCTTCCTGAGGAAACGTAATACTTTGTACCATGTCCTAATTGTCTTATTTGCAATTTATTACATCGTCTAATAACTGAAAAGCTTTTCTTAATTGATTAAGGCAGTTACACTTATTTCTGATATAACGCCAGCAATACGCTCACATTCATGCCAATTTGCTGTCAAAGATTCATCCGGTCTATTTATACAATGAGCCAACCTCAAGGTTCGATGATATACCTCATTAAACAAAACGTTGTCCGACATGATACCGAATTTATTTCATTTTTTTTTTCTCCAAAAAATAGTAAATAAAATAGGACAATTCTTAAGAGTTATAAATAACCCAACGAGCAGTAATTTTAAACGAGAAGATAAATACTAACGTCTTATGACGTCAACTTCGACTGAACTCGGAACCACGCCCTCTGTTCGTTTGATTGGAGAAATTTTGGTGGTGGAAAATACAATGGAGAAATTCTGATAGTTGAAAATGCAAAGAGGAAAAAGTTATAGTGAATTTGCAAAGGCGAAAAGTAGAAAGTGAAAAAAACATAACTAGATTTTTTGGTTTGTTTTGATACTAATATAGTGATTTTGTGTAATGTGATATTCACAAGTGAAAAATCTCGAAAATGGCCATTTTTGCCATTTTGACTATAATAATTTGTCAATTTTAACTATTATATTTTCTCTTAATATGGCAATGATTCGGCTAAATGGAAACAAGGGCCTTAACTCTGGGAACAATTTACAGAAATTGTTGAAATTCGACAGGATTTTTTGTTTTAATAATGCATATAAATTTCATACAGATCAGATTATAACTTATGTCATTCAAACATTCACAAGTTCAACAAAGTAAAACAAGGGCCATAAATTTAGATGTAATTGATGGAAATTGCTGAAATTCAATAGGCTTCTTCGTTCAACTAATTTAAACAATGCATATAAATCTCATACAGATCTGATGATAACTTTCATTTCGAGCGTCCAGAAAGGTTCGACAAAGTGAAACAAGGGCCATAAGTCTACAAGAAATTATTGAACATTGCTGAAATTCAATAGGATTCTTCGTTTCACTAATTTAAATGACGCATATAAATTTCGTACAAATTAGATCATAACTTTCATCATTCGAATGTTCACAAGGTTCAACAAAGTTAAACAAGGGCGATAACTCTAGACATAATTATTGGAAATTGCTGAAATTCATTAGATTTCTTTGTGTCACTAATTTAAATGATGCGTATAAATTTCATACAGATCGGATGATAACCTTTGTCATTAGAGCATTCACAAGGTGCAGCAAAGTGAAACAAGGGCCATAAACAGAATAAATTAATGGAAATTGCTGAAATTCAATATGATTCTTTATTATTCTAATTAAAGTGCACATAAGATGGATCGGAAAATTTTGAGATACATATAGCCAATGGTTATTACATCCACTTTTGGGCAAGTTCACACCAATCTGTTTGAAATTAATTCAGCTATCTTCACTCAAAGTCGCAAAAACGACTTGGCCAATTATCGAAAACACTCTTAATCCCCTCCGACGCCAGTGACGTCACAGTGACCGAATGAATATTCGGAATGTTTATTCCTTAATTACCTATATACAGCCGTTGTGTGTATTCAGTAAGGCATGACTGACTCCTTAATCCCCTAATTAAATAAAACAACTGACTACGGAATAATTTGTTTTGTAATACAGCATCTTAAAATACACTTCGAAATATTCTAGTCACAAATAACTAATCTATTACAATTCAAGACGAGAAAGGTCGGCTTAAGTTGTTTTTAGTTAGTTGTATTTTACGTCCGCTTCCACCGAAGTGATATCGCAAACAAAGGTCGGCTTAAGTTCGTTCGTTCGTTCTTGGTGTTTAACGTCTGCTTCCACATAAGTGATATCGCAGACAAGACATAGCTGATTCCTGTTTTTTAGAATATGATTTTGCAATCTTTCTATTTGGCCTTAGGCCATGGATTTGGTTTAGTGGGAAGTTCTTCCCTTTATTTAATATAAAACATATCGTTTGGTAGATGATCTCGTCTGCTTCT